CTGATGTTTTGGGACCCCGTGAATTAAACACTTATGAGACAAGTTACGCCGCCCGAACAGAAGGCCCTGTTATATTTTCCAGCAGTTTATCCCGACTGAATGATCGCCGATCCCGTCTTTCTCTGTTATCCTTTTCGCGCAGAAATACAACATGCCTGTGTTCGCTCGTGTCGACGCGTTCATTTACGCATTTGTTTGCTTTCTTTAACGTGAGCGTCTATCGACGCTTACACGATGACCTAATGTACTTCGAGTCTTCGAGTACTTTTAGGCGGTTGGTCTCTTTCGGTGTGTTTCTCATTCAGTGCGATCATTTTCTTGTTTTCGTTGTGCGGGCTAAAGAGCCCTCCAAAGGGGCCCTTGGACCACCGGACCCACCTAGTTCGGACCTCCCAAATCCCCATATTTTAGGTGTTCTGGGCCCGGGAGAGGGGAGCTATTACCTTTCCTGACCCCTACAGGATTTCCAGCCATACAAATGAGGCCAAGCAGAAATTCTTGGCGGTCCCGGCCCCAGTGTCGCCAAAATGGTGGTAAGTAGGTACTTTAGGGGAGGTAATGATGCCCGAATGTGTTACAGACGAGGCCATGTGTTTGGGCGGGCAAATGGTCTCATAGGTATTCAACTCACGTGCCCCTCAATGCACGTGCCCGTAGGTATGACTGTGTAAAATAACCCAAAAATAACTTGAGGCCCCTCGAAATAAAGTGGGTCAAGCTCGGCGATTTTATGGCGCAGGATCTGACACTGGTGTCTCATGTCACTGTCAATCAAGGACCTTCTACGGATTCCTTCCATTCGCCAGAAAGGCTCTGTACGCCACAGCCGGGGCCACATATTCGCAACCTGCCGGAGTTCAGCTGCTCAGGGGACTCTTTACGTTGACCTCGGTTAACCTACCCACACGCTCGCGATATGCCCATGAGCTATCTACGCTGGTCTAGGACGCTTCCAGTTCTCTGTGACTTGCTTAGAGCCCTACTCACTTGTCGGGGCCCACGTATTCACCTGCTCGGGCACACTGGATTATTTGGAGCCCCGTACATTGGGTACTTCAACATAGGGCTCTACGCTGTTTTCGTGGCCATCTGATAGCCTGCTCGGATGCACTCGATCTTTCGGGGGCCCTTCACACTGGGTTTGGGGGGGGGGGGCAACGCGTTTGTCGGAGGCCTCTTCGATAACTTGCTGGGGCACATTTGATCGTTCGGGGGCTCTCTTCCTTAGTCTTGGGGACTACCTATTTCAATGAAGGGACCTACGTACTTGACGGGGTCCCCCTGTTCGCCTCCTCGGCCACTATGCATTGTTCGGGGGCCCGACATATTGGATCTTGGTGTTTGAATTTAGGGCTCTACGATCCTATCGAGGCCATCTGGTCGCTGCGGCTTGAGTGTTGTTTTCTTTTTAAATTGAATACATGGTGCTATGTTCACTACAGGCCCCATCTTACGCTGCTCGGGCCGGTGGCGGATAAAGAGGGGGGGGGGAGGGGGGAGAGGCACCGGACCATGCCCCCATGAACCATTCCGAGGGGACCCATTGGCTCCAAAGGGACTCATTACCGGCCGAACGGACGCAGTTTTCTAATTAAAAAACACAAGCAACAAAATTGGACGCATTTAGGCCTACAGGCGACAAACAGCGGTTGCAAACGAAAGTGAAGAGTTCATACGCAAATAAAGCAGATTCTTCGTTGATTGAAAATATGATGATTGATGAAAACTTTTGTGCCTCATTACGCTATCCAGAGGCCCTACGCTCCTGCCCGGGCCCTATATGTCCACTTGCCGGGTCAATCCGATCGCCAAGGGGCCTTCCGCGTTGCCCTCATTCTCTTTGCATTTTCTTGTAGGTGATCCTAACCCTGTTATTGGGACATTATCGGCTTCCATTTCTGGACACTCTAAATCGATCACGATAATTTTCCACGTATTCTTCCCATTCGCCCGAAAAGCTCCATGTTTTTCCCGGGCCCAAATGCCAGGGTGTACTCAACTGCTCGGGGCCCTTCATATCATTCTCGGGTTCTTTCCACTTGCTCGGAGGACTTTGTGCTGTTGCTAAGGCTCATATCAGGTAAGGCACCGAGACTCGATGCTCAGAAGCCATCCACTTTCGGCTAGAGACACTCGATACTCAGGAGTCGTCTACCTCTGCAACGGCTGTTGCCTTTGATCTCATTTGCGGAGGGCTCTTCACCCCTATCGGGTTTCTTTCTGCTAACCTGCCCGGGCACTTTTAATCGCACAGGGGTATTAATATACTTTTGGGTAATTCCTCTTTGCTCAGAGTCCTGTGCTATGGCCGGGGCCTGAGATGGGAAGCGCCTTCTCTCTGTTGACATATAATCAGTCTGTTGGAGTGCTGCCAATCAGTTTAGGAGTCCACCACGTTAGTCTTCCGCTCTTTTCACCTGCTCTGAGGGCCACATACTTGTCGACGGGAGCCTTTTTGTTGGCCTCCCGCGGCACCCGTGATCGGTCAGGCTCCATCCCTTCTGGTCTTGATGCCTTGACCTTGAGCAGCAGTCGGATATGCGCCGATAAATTTTTACACGTAATTGTAGAACGTGATTTTACGTGCCGCCGACGTCGCAGACATCATTTCCCTTGTCTGTTGAGTGTGTGACACTCATAAAACTTGTATATCACGTGCTTGACATATTTCGAACGCCGAGTTAGTTTGCCCTCCTTTCATAACAAATAAAAAATCTGCATTAGTAATCAGCCATCAGCTGATGACATTGCTAGTTCAAAAAGTCGTAAATAAGCAAGGAATCAAGCCCGTGCTTGGTTTTAATGCTATTTAACAGCCAACTTGAGTTTATTTTGCCCGTTTTCCCACTGCACCTGGCCTCAAAATCACAATTTAACGTCACCTGGAGAAAATGACTGAGTTCCACGCCTGTGGCATGCGTAGAAAAACCTAGATGTTTGAGGCTGCGCACAGTAAGGATGGGTTCCTGTAATTACTATATATATGCATAGACAACGCACACACACACACACACACACACACACACACACACACACACACACACACACATATATATATATATATATATATATATATATATATATATATATATATATATATATGTATCCTGGACCCGTCCCTGAGCACATCTTTCTCATAAAAGCATTACATGGCTTCGACGATTCTTGATGTCATTTGATATGATCAGCTGAATGCAGTAATAAGCAGTGGAAATGTTTATGGATTGGTCATGCGCGCCGCATTCGTCTGTGTTGGTTGCCGTTCAGGCACGTTCCGGCCTCGGTAGTGTCGGTTGCGGTGTCCGGGCGGATCAGGCAGGCGGCAGGGCCGGGTTCGGTACAGGATAAGATTCTTGAGGTAAATTTCATCAAACACCTTGTTTATTATAATGCAGCATGCTGCTTCAAAATGCAAAGGATTTCATTAGTGATTATGATGAACCTTCACTTGGCAGCTAACTTTGTGATCTGTTAATGTTTCGAATACTGCCTTATAGAGCAATGCTCATAATTTGTCGATGCTTTGACTGGATTGAACTAAACAGCCTTTTGGCATGATTTGTTATGCATATTCCATGTAAATAGGCAGTTTTAGAATCCGAAGAGTTCAAAAGAGAGTATTGATAGGTGTTAATTCGCCATGGCTTATACAGTACACGATCGTCGTACCACACAGATCCATTGGATGGTTGGAGAGGAAGGATTTGTGTTTCAAGATAGTCCAAAATATTGTTGCAACCTGTTTTTTGAAGCTCAAATGTTTTATCTCCTCATACAGATATTCTTTTCTTTAATCTATCAATATTCTTAGAACTGAATGGAGAGTCTGCATGGCCAGTGATATATTTGTATAGTGATATACAAATGAATGAATAGGATCTGAATCCATAGGTTGTACCTTCTAACTCTGCTTTAGACATTTCTCCCTCATATGGATAAACTTTCAGAATAAAAGGGAAATAATTATATTGATTTTATGTGTCAGCTTGATGTAACATTGATGGCAGCCATCATGGTCAAAAGTCAATCAGCTTCTAAATCTTGCTGCACATGCTGCATATTTTGGGCTTCTTCTGTGTGTTTGTTTTGTGGAGTATTGCGAGCATTTTTGTGGACCAGCCCATACATAGCATGCACACCAGACCAGGTGCACAACAAACATTGTGAAAATGCATAAAACAATGCTGGATGGTCTATAAATTGTCAACCAAATGCATTGGAACTGAATACAGCTTTTCATGAAATAAAATGTGCAAAGGGGCTGTGTTCTCACCAGAAGAGGTGGGGAGCACTGCAGCAGCACCAGGAGAGGTGGGGAAGTGGCCATCCATTTTTTTTGCAATTATTTTATGCGAGCACCTCTGCTCAGCAATGGCTCTATTTTCATGGCAACCCAGTGGGCCGTGATGCCTAGACCCTCCTGCTCCTATGGCCTTCTTTACCTGTGGTCCACATACTGACTGTCTTAGCCATCACATAGCTAGTTGTACAGTGGTTTTTATTTGAGTTTGCTAACTTAATGCCATACTGTACTTGACCATAACACTTTTTGCATTCAAGGCAGACTCCAGGCTGCCATAGTTTGTGCGTGAATTGTTACCCAGGCAGTGGACAATTCACCAAGATAAAAATTGGCATCAGCCCAACCAGACAGCCTTCACAATAACCATTCGCCACCATTATGGCGACCGACCAGCAACTGGTTCGGTAACATCATCTGGACTTTGCGCCGCCAGTGCAGGCGTCCGGTGGGCCGCGCGTGCGTTGTCAGCGCTCAGGGCTGGTGGAATAAGCGCAGTGGCGGGACCTTGGCCGCCAGAGAGCGGGCGGACTTTGCTCGGTGGACGGGTGACTGTCGGCCCCGCGGCCTGTGCACGGACCACGCCACGCCGCGCCCGGTCCGGGGCGGGGCGAGCCGCTCGCCCCGGACCGACGCTCCGGCGGGGCCCGCGGTGTGCGGGGCGCGGTCGGCTGGCGCGTGCTGAGTGGGTGCTCAGGACGGGCGGGGCGCGGACGTCGGCCGGCACGAGCTCCGACCGGATCACTGTGCGACACTCCCCAGTTTGGAAAATATTCATTTCCGTGTGCATTCTGCTCGATTTGCCAAAAACGACGCGTCATTTCAGGTGTGCAGTATGTATTGTTACCTCGGCGGTTTTTCGTTTATGTTCAGCCACGTGCACATGTGGTCTTGTTTACTGATCGAAGCATTGAACCAATGTCCCATGTAGCCGAGTCCGGCCTGTTCCCCCAGTGAACTGGTGTCTTGTTTGACGATGCCCCACGTTTTATCTCTTGAACGTTTACCCTGTTGTTGCCCTCCACACTGCGTATCAGTGGCCAGTGTTGTTCACTGCACTCTGTACCGGGGTGCTGTACTGCCCTCCGCACTACGTACCGCTGCCTCGTGTTGCTTTGCTCCCCTCCCCCCATCACCAAAATTACGCGCAACCCTCTCCAGTATATCGATGTCTCGTGTTGCCATCACCTCATATGTTGACCCCTCCGCATTGTGCTGTACTAACGCTGGCATTTTCACGTGAACCAGTGCCCCTTCTGCCGCCTCCCGGGCACTGGTGCCCCTAACCGCCTTTCCTCATGAAGCGCTGTCCCTTAATGCCTCTTCCCGTGTATGTATGTCATGGGGGTAGTCCATTGGTGCCTATCCCCATGCAATGATGCCCTGTACAACCCTCTCCCCGTGCGCCGACGTCCCTTTCCTTCCCCTTCCCGTGAATTGTTGTAGCTCCCTGCCCCTTCGCGTGTATCGATGCCCCATTAGTGGTGTGCTCTCCCTGGAGCGGCATCCCTTCCCGTGCCCTGCCGGTGTGCCGGTGTGCCGGTTTGGCCGTGGCCGCGCCGGCGGCCGCCGCCAGCGGCCCTGCATCGATCAGCGCCTGAGCCGACGTATCGTGTCGCTTCAGTGGTGCCGGTGGACCGCTGGGCGACGGAGTCACCGCTGCCGACCACATGCCGTCGCTGGCGGAGCGGTGAGTGGAGCGGCGCCGGCCGGCCCGCAGGTGGACCGCACCGCCCGCGGGCGTCGCTGCCCCGTCAGCTGTCTCGTAGAGGTGGCTGCCGGGGCTGTTGCCGCAGCTGCTGCTCTCGGTGTTTTGTCAGAGGCTGACTGCGATCTCATGCAGTTTGTTGATTGGCTTATGACGGCCGGTCCCAAACCTTGCCGGGATTTGCGCTGGCCTTCTGTAGCGCAGGGAATGCCACACGCTTGTCTTTGACAGAACGCGTGAATGGCTGGCCACCGAGTACGGCGTCTCGTTGCCATTGTAGCCTACTGTCAATCCATCTACCATGCGACCGCCCGCGGTTTGGAAAAGTTCTTTGACGGGCTCAGCTATTGAATGAAATAAAAAGATTAAATAGAAAATATAGCATAACAATGAGTAGGTCAATAAAATATGCTAAAATGGGTAAGGAACGTATACTCAGTGGTCTCGAAAATACGACGCTAATCCTTGCCAAGAACCCACGCAATATGGGGGAGGCAGGAGGGCAACGGCTAACAAAGTTTTAACGTTGCCCCTGGCCTGTATCCGCGCCGAGAAGTTTGACTGGAGCTTTTAAGCTGTACTGAGCCAAATCCGCGTGGCACGAATGCTTTCACTCCGCTGAGTCATTGCTTTATCCACATATGTTTGCTTGGGAATGTTCAGCGCTTGGAGGTGCTGGTTTGCCGACACTGGTTGGTGAGAACAAGATTTTGAGGGATTTAACTGACCCCTGAAGTTCTTGCCACTGAGTGTCTCCAAGGTGAACCGGTGACTGGTAATCGGTTTCGCCACATCTCTCGTTATGCATAAAACCCGCATATCAGTGAACAAAATCGCCCGCGTACGAAACTGATTATTCATTTACGGGCAAAAGTTCCGAAACGCTGGGGCTTGGCATGCTTTGAAAATACGAAGCTTGAAAAGGACGCAATGCAGTATAAACGCGCGTAGTCCTACGCAACGTTTTATAAAAATGCGGTGCAGTGTTCCCATAAGACAGGTAGCTTCTTTTATTTAAGCTGCCCGGAGTTGGAAAGCTCATAAGATCAGAAAACTGGTATGCAGCTAACTGAGCTGAACTCAACACGCTATCCTTTGCGCTGTATCGTTTCCATAGCAACAGGAAGATGCGGTGATTAATCTCCTCCGAACACCCAGCGAAATGTCCGCTGGCAGTCGATCGTTGATGTGCACTTCGTTCCTTGGCATGCCTTGATACAGATGATTCACCTGTGTTTCCCAGCGGCGGGGAGTGGGGTATTGCCCCAACACGGGCCCTGTCATGGTGGGCCCACGTTCAGCGCGCAGACTTACAAAGCTCGCGGACCCGACCGCAGCCAGAGCCACTTGCGCCCCCCCCCCCTCCCCCCTCCTGCCCGTACTTGCGCCCCCCCCCCTCTCCCCCCTCCCGCCCGTACTTGCGATCGGCGACCTGGACCCCATGCGGCGGCGTGGCGGCGTGGCGGCGCCTCTGCCGTCTGCAGCGCGCCGAGCAGCTTCCGTCCGGCTGGCCGGCCCAGCGGTGTCCACCGGCGAGCTCGCGCGCGTCACACTAACACGTGCTAACGTGGGACCGGCTGCTGCGGCCGGTCTGGCTGGCGCAGTGTGCGACTCATTCAGTTAGGACGCGGCGGGCCGTGGGGTCCAGAAAGTTCGTCAGAATTGCAACAAACGGATGTTCAGAAAGCAAGTGCTCCTGCTTCAAACTTATCCGCCCAGGTTTGTTTCACCTGAAAGTTTTCCGTGTATTCAGCTTTCCGTTCGCACACCCGGTGTGAGGAAGCTGACGCCGGCGGGGAGGGACGCACGTGGACGCTCCGAGTGTTCCGTGAGAGCCGAACTCTCAGCGGCGTCCGGGTTGGGCGGCGGTGTGGGCCTACCGGCAGGTTTCCGGCGGCCCCGTTGGCTCCGGGGGCCTTCTGAGATTGATCCGAGACCCGCGAAACCAGGCCCGTCCGGCGGCGGCCGTGCGATCGATGCCGGTGACGTCAGCCGGGGCGACCCGATGCGGCTGCCATCAGCACCCGGAATGTGACTGGCGGGAGGCAGCGATGTGGCCGGGTGCCGCGCGGTGTGGCAGCGCTGGCGGGAGGGGTGCAGCCGCCGACACCGGTCGGTCGGAGTTCGAGACGCGGGCCGGACCCGCGGACCGGCTCTGGACTCCAGCTTACGGCGGCCCTGCGGCGGGCGCCGCTGGCCGCAGCCCCACACGGCCTGCTGAACGGCGACACTGGCGCCGCACCGGCGGCCGATGGGCCGCGCGCGCGCCGGTTTTTTACGCTGGGACTGGAGCGGCCAGGTCCGGCGGCTGCGCGCCTCGGCTGTCCCTATGCAGGGTCACGCGTTCGCCTGCGTGTGGCTGCTGTCCTGGGCGTTTGACGGCCGCCATGCGACGTGTGCTTATCAGCAACGCTCGCTCGGCCATGGTTATTTATTCAGCGCCGATCGCCGGGTGGCGTGTGGCCCGCCATTGTGTGACCGCTCGCCGGCCGCGAAAGACGCCCGCGTCGGTGCGCAGACGACCGTCTCGTCGGAACGGGCCGGTTGAGCGTGATCAGGTTCCGACGGCGACGGTCTGGTGACGGCTGGCGCGCCGCGTCCGTCGTCGGACGGCCGGCCGTCCGGGGGTCGGCGCTCGACGGCGCCCGGCGGCGCCCAGCGGATCCGCCCTCGGCTCGATCGAGCCCCCGCCGCCAGCGTTGGCACGGCCCTGCTGTGGGGGCGGCACGAGCGTATGGCCCGGCCGTCGGCACTGTAGCGCTCCTCCAGCCAGATGTTCCGGGGCGCGTGGCACGTGTGCGGTGGGATGCCGCGCTACACATTCAGACACAAACCTCCTTTCTGGCCATGTTTGCATCTGGTTGCGGTCACATGGACACTATCTGATAGCACATCAGGCATTTGCAGGTGGTTACGTTCTGTGCTGCATATACATTATAAAAGGGTGCCATAGGAGTTGCAAGAGGACCCCTGGCTATCTGATTTCTAGTTTCACGGTTCAATAAAATATTTCCGTCTGTGCTCAAGCTTCCCGAACGATGATTGCCGGCTTTCCCCGTGGACCAGTTGGACATCCGTGTCAGTCAGACAGGTGCTGGCCAGATGCCGCAATGGCCTCCGCCGTCTGCTGACTTGCTCATTTCGATTTTATCGGTATCGCCGTAAGCGACCGATTGCCTGGCGCTTGGCACCATTGATCGGATCGTTGAGCGCGAGGCCTCACGACATGACGACGCCCTCATGGCCGCCCGCGATGAGGCGGGCTGTCCTGGCCTTCTTGACCCGGTGACGTGCAATCTGTCATTTCCGGGACCTGGGCACTCTTGCGTGAGCGGTTTGCACTGCTCACTGATTGCCCTGAGCCGGCTATGTCCGGTTTGAGCCGGTCGATGACGCTGGCGGGACATGAATCTGGCCGGTGATGTGCGCACATGCGTATAGCGTGGACCCAAGGGACGCGACTTTGCAGCACTTTGGCCTGTGTATGTACTGACCAGACAATTGGACATCGGGTGCTCCGGTACGGCTAATAGCAGGTTTGAGTCCGGTTATGCCGGGCGTGGCCACCTGACGTGAACATGTTGTTTGCCCTTGCATATGTGACCATTAGAGCCGTTACCAGCCCGTGCGTGTGCCGTTGGCGCCGGCGGCTCACCGTTGAATACAACCAGGCGCATGTGGCGGTGGCGGACACCCCAGCTCCCGACTCCAGCCCGACTAACCGCCCACTGTATTCCGGACACAACACGTACGTGCCCGTCACTAACGCCCCTGCCGCCGGCCCGTCTCGCCCGGCTCCGGTCTGCCGCGCTCCGAGCTGCCGGTTCGCCCGGCGGCGCCGGACGCGTGGTGCAGGAGGTGGGGCGACGCCGCCGGTGGGGGTTGGGTCGCGCTCAGCAGCAGCGCTGAGGCGGCAGCAGCAGTGCCCTCTCCGGACTCCGGACCGCGCGGCGGGGACGCCGTCTCGCCCCCGGCCGTTGCGGCTGTTTGCGAGCACGGCGCCGCCGAGACTGGCGCGTGCTGGCCGCCGTTAAGCCGATTGGTTCTGGAGCTGCTGTCAGCATTCACGGACATTGTGGGGCTTGCGTTCTGCTGTCGCGTCCGTCAGCGGTGGCTCTGTTCAGCACGTCGGAGCGGTGACATCAGCGAAAAGAAGAATTACCGCCGTTGGGCGGCCAACTCGTGCATTTGGTAGATCGCGCGTGGTATGGAAATAGAAGAAATCAGTCCGAAATGCATCGCGCTGCTTCTCGTTTGCATTATTTCTCAGTGATGGTCGTGTTTGTTCTGCTCGATCTAGGACAACCTGTGTTATAGCGTGTTAACTGGGGAGTTAAGTGCCTCCCGAGTCGTGGAACTTCGGCGACAAAGTTAATCAGGCCCTGAGACGCATGAATAACGTAGAGAGACTGGATAGCTTGTTTGCCGAATGCTAAAGATGAGTCGGATTATGGGTGTATATGACCATCGAGGCATTTACTTCTCCAAGTGTCATATGTCGCCAGCTGGTAATGACCTCCAGCTCGCCCGGTCCCCTCGTCCCCCGGTTGTCGGGCTCGCCTCCCCAGCGAAACTTCCTTAAAATACGACTTGGGCTAGGAAGGCATCAGAATGAGTGCTGCAGCCTTCTCCGCATGTATCCGGTGTCAGAGCCGCCGACGGGAGAGGAGGCGCAGGTGGCATGTCGCCCGCGGGATCGCACTTCGCCCGTCTCTCTGTCGGCATAGATGGTCGTTTTGGCTGAACGGTCCCATGCGTGATCTCGTCCTCCCCGAGGACACCAGCTTGTTCGCCACCGTTTAATCCGTTGTACGCTCCGGTGCCCCACGCTGGTGACGCTCTTGCGGACGATTCCATAGTAAATCGACATGGATCATGAGTTCCTTACTAGTTAAAGTGATATGCCCACAAAAATGTTATTTGTGTCAGATGTGTAGAGCTTTGGGACACGTCCCCCTGATTCACATGGTATCCTTTTCGTCACGAGTTGACTCGTGCCATAGTAATTATCAAAACTTGGGCGAGAGCATGGGGCCCAACGAAGGGCGAGAACATCCTGGATGAACGAGTGTACGTTTACTTAGCGTTTTTGACCTAGCGTTTAGTGCTTAGGACTGGAAGCGAATCACACAAATCATGATCAATCGTGTAGTTAACTTCTTGGGTAAAACATTGCATCTTGGTATCGTTTTTTTGTGCGTTCCAGAACAAATGACGATTTTTGGGTTGGCTCGATCCTTCAACTAAAACACAAGCTCATTGCGGAAAAGGATCATCCTGCCCTGTCACGCGCTGTGGGCAGTGGGGCTTCTCAGATTGCTGTTGACGGACTGTTTTAAACACGTTTGTGCCCTGTGAAAATAGCATTTGCTTTTGTTAAGTCCGAGCCAAACCTGCAGTCACTAGCACGTATTTCGTAGTACGGCCTCATAATGCATTTAACACTGCACACAATTGCCTCGATTATGCTTTACGATACTGGCTAAACAATTGCTCATCTGTTTACCGGCTTTGCCAGCGCTGTGGTCTGCGGAATGTCAGTTACCGTCGTGCTGTCTCATTGCATCAGATTACACAACATACACTGTACATGCACAAGGGCATCAGCACACACATACACTACACGGTGACGCACCGTGAACCATTTTTTTGTTTATGCACTTCACGTTTGGTGTTGGTTAGAGATAACTGGCTTAGGACCATGTTTAAGATTATGCTTTTATTTTTGTCTTATTAGTGGGCCTGATGTCTTTCGCTGTATGTCTTACCTAACTGTAATGGGTTGCTGTGTTTCAGATGGCTGCATTACGCGAAATGCGCGCTGCGTCTGTTCCTGTTCCTGCTCAACAACCTGTACTGCATCCCGACGTACACGGTGTGGATGTGGCTGCTGTATCCGCTGACGTGGGTCGCTCCTGACATCTACTGGCGGATAGAGGGAACTCTGTTCAGATGGCTCCTCCACATGGTGGCCATGCTCAGCTACACGGCTGATTACGATGGTAAGCCTCCGACAATCGATTATGTGCACAAATGCAGTGTACTGTTTGGTGCTAGCAGAACAGGCTCTGGTAATTTGTGATGTAGATTGTGCGTAATGTTGGTAAATGAAAAAAGTGACGATGCAGGCATTCATGCGTAGTTGGAAGAGACAAATCAATGACTAAATAAACGCCACCATGCGGTGTAACCTTCAGCCCTCAGGTTGTGCTGTGTCACAGGTGTTAGATAGCCTTGCTCACAAATTAGGACGTGTCTTGCAGGTCAGTGCTGGCCTTGTTCGAGCTAAAGTGGGCATTGTTTTTGCGACCTTGGCAACAATTACACCACAGTGCATTTCCTCCCCGACGACAGTTGTGTAAGACGGTATATATATATATATATATATATATATATATATATATATATGTGTGTGTGTGTGTGTATTAAAAGTGCGGCAGAACAAGTACATGTATATACATGCCTATATCTATCTATCTATACACATATACATATATATATATATATATATATATATATATATATATATATATATATATATATATATATATAGCTATCTCGCTTCGAAGTGACTCATATCAACATACGTTGATCAGCATATGAATTTCATATTATTCGCTACGCGTTTCACAGAACAACGGCTGCATCATCAGGCAGGACACACACGTTCAGCGTAAACTATTGACATGCGCGGACAAATTGGAAACTACCACACATGCACATGCAATGGCACAGGACCAATCCCCATTTCTACGGACATGTATCATTTTGTCATATTTTCTAATGGCTATGATGAAGTCATGCTCTTTAGTACTGGATGTTTCGTTAAAATGTATAATGACTTAAAATTCTCACCTCGACCGAGGAGTATCTTCTCCCCGGTTGTCCCATGTAAATGAATGTTCTCGTATGGGGAGGGAGTTAGGCTTTGCATGAGATTTTCCCGTCCGAATACATTTAGCTGAATGCTGCTGAATGCGACTGTGCAAAGTCCGAATGATGGAACCTATGTAGGATGTTCCACACGAGGCACGACAAAACTCGTAGTCAACAGTGGATTGACAGTATTTAGGTAATCTATCGTTCTGTTTGAAGGAAGACCTGCTCAGAAGGCATTCACCCGCGCGGTCCTAGACTCTAAAAATGGATAGAATTGCGTTTGGAGGCTCATCAACTCACGCTTGAGGCCTTCAGAATCTGGCCAAAGTACAGCAGAGCAAATTACGTTTTGAGCTCAAACAAATCAAACCTGAAATGTGAGCCGATCAGCCTCCTATCGAAATTCCATTTGTTTTTAGAGCGTAGGATTGCTCTGTTGAATTCCTTCCCAGTAGGCTCTCGTTCAAAGAAAGATCGATTACCTGAACACTGCTAATCGAATGCTGTATGCGAGATTACTCGTGCCTCTTGCAGACATCCTACGTAGGCTCCACCCTTGGGAAATTGCAGTCGTATTCAGCGGCATTCAGGCAAGTCTAACCGGGCGGGGAAATTCACTGCAAACCTAACCCCTCCACCATGCGAGAACACTCATTTACGCGTGACAACCAGTTTTAGCCTCCAATCTAATATCTTGGGCAGGACATCATCCCCACTGGATTGGAGAATCGGAGAGTCCTGATACATTTTTAAGAAACGTCCAGCGCTAAGTAATATGGCCTCATCATATTCATTAGAAATTGCGATAATATATATATATATATATATATATATATATATATACATATCTGTAGGATTTGGCGTAGGTCATGCGTCCTTGCATGCGCATGTGCGGTATTTTGAATTTGTGCACGTCTTGAATCATAAAGGTTTACATTAAGTGTGTGTATTCTTTTGCCCGATGATGCATCCGTTGTTTTGTTAAACGCGTCGCGAGCAACATACAATGTAGTAATATCGCTATATATATATATATATATATATATATATATATATATATATATATATATATATATATATATATGGCCGTTGTTAAAGACCAGTGCATATTCGGCTTTACCTAGTTTTTTCTGGGTATCTCGATCGATCTTATGTTTTGTTGAACGTCGTCTGACAGGTTAAAGATAAAGGTAGTCCGGCACCGAGATTGTTTGTCTTGTGTTCAGTCTTTATCGTCCATATATATATATATATACGCCTCAGCTTATGAGGCCTCAAATGTGCGAGCTACTATGGGGTGAATACGAGTGCAGACCTCTACTGAAGTCATAAAGGCGAATGGTCGAATACGGGCAGTGTGGCTCGACATCGATCGTCGATGTGTGGTTACTACGAGCTGACGGCGGGGTGAGACCCTGGGTGCCCTGGCCGGGCGGAGGCGGCTGGCCGCCACGTGACCGCGTGTGCGTATGGGCCCGTTCCCAGTGATAGAGATGGGCGACCGCGTGGACGAGCTGGAGCAGGACAACTGCCTCTTCATCATCAATCACCAGTCGACGGCCGACGTGCCCATCATGATGAACATGCTGACTGCGCACGGCCGGGCAGCCGACAACAGCATGTGGATCATGGACGTCCTCTTCAAGTGGACCAACTTCGGCATCGTGTCCCAGCTGCACAGGGATTTCTTCATCCAATGTGTGAGTTAGCTGTGCGGAGATACATTGGTGGTAACGACGTCACAGAAGCTTTTCAGCCACGGCTGGGAGGGGGGGGGGGATGGGGAAGAAGCCCACTGTCTGATGGTTCTTACGAGCTTAGTGCGCGAAAAATTGATGGGAGCGTGTTGTGACGGCATGTAGGAGGCGAGGACATCGTCGGCTACCCGGAATAATTCTATTTTCGTCTCTGTGAAATAAGTTGTGAATGGTATACCATCGTGCTATTCTTGCGTACAAACTTGTATGGATTGGCCACCAGTTTTTTGCTTTTGTTTTTGTGGGGGTCGACATTTCTGATGCTCACAGTTGTTTGAATGTCATGAGAGATGCCAGTCTACGAGACGTGTAAAGGTTTTTATTGGTTCTGCTTCCGTCATCAATTTATGATGTTCTTCCGCAGGGTAAAGACAAGAGGGTGTAAATATTTTTATTGGCTCTGTTCCTGTCATCAATTTATGACGTTCTTCCGCAGGGTAAAGACAAGAGGGATAAGTCAGTAGAGCTGCTTAAAACGGCTCTTATTGAAGACTACGTGGGACTAGACAGAAAATGGGTGCTGCTTTTTCCAGAAGGTGGCTTTCTAAAAAATAGGAAAGAAGTTAGTCAAAGGTAAGTGCTCACCCAAGTTTTTCAGCGTCGAAATTTGTTTCAGTAGGGCAATGTACACCAACCGCACTGCTGTGCTGTATTTTGGCGCCCCTGTGTCGGTAGATAAGTTGGTTGTTTACTAACCAGAAGTGTTTATTTGTCTGCTCGACTGGGCGGTAGCCCACTTACGGGGAGTTTGGGTCTGCATCCGTGGGGGGATGTGGCGAGAGGCAACACTAACGTATATTCAAAACATTGACCTGATTCCTTGTTTTCTGACGTAATCATATTACGTATGATTCCTTTTCTTCTTACGCGAGGCTGTATTGCTGTGTCACACGCGCGGATGCCCCAGCGTCTAGCTCATTTTGCATCAAGCACGGCCGGCAATTCTCTGTACAATTCTTCGGCGATCACTGGAACGGTCTTCAGCTCGAGGCGTCATGAAATTATGCCATAAGCCATGTCAAAGTTGGAGATGAGGCCGTCACCTCGGCCAGCGTCGTGACCGAAGCCGTGGGACGCTGGAACTCCAGCCGTCGACACGCCGTCGATGTTGGGTCGTTTGTCAGCCGTGCGTGGGCCGCGACCTCTGACGAGCGGCGCGTGGCCGGGCAGGTTCGCCCAGAAGAACGGCCTGCCGCACCTGGAGCGCGTCAGCCTGCCGCGGATAGGCGCCGCCCGCGCCGTGCTCGACCTGCGCGCCGAGCACCGGCCGGGCTCCCCCAAACGGGCCAACGGCGTCGGGCACGGTCAGTGGGGCTGCGGGCGGGCCGTGTGGGACGGCCGCGGAGGGCTTGGGACGAGCCGCGGACGGGGCGTGAAGGGAGAACTGATGGATGAAGGAGGTGGCCCATGGCTACTCTGTTATGTGCAAATAGATATATGCGTGTAATTGTCCACATGATTGAAGATTTTTCTGTTTTTACACTGCGGCTCGTTACTGCGTCTTTCCGACAATCATTAGTGGAAGGTCACGACCTCACCGCAAGTGGCGGATGCCGTCGGATTTTGCACAGCTTACGTTGTTGATACAAATTTTCCTAGAGGTATTCGCATGTACGCGGCAAGTGAAAAGTGCTCCATGGTAGCATGCCATGTTTTTCCGTCACGGTAAAGGTCCACGACACTGTCCGTCCGGACGATAAGTCCTCTCGATACTCGTTTGAGGTTAGGCCCAAACACCATTTGGAGGCTAGGTTCAAGCACAGAACAGCGCGCCGAGTGTCCTTAAAAGAGACTAGGCTTGTCTATGATTGTCTTGCGAGCACTTCGTTGAGCGGCGCGCCTGTGCCGGTGGTGACCGAAGCGCGGCCATCGTCAGGTGACGCTCTGCCGAAGCCAGATGGCGGCCAGCCGCGCCGCCGGATCCGGTGGGTGGTTGACCTGACGGTGGCGTACCCGGACCAGCAGCGGCCGCTCGACCTCGTCTCCGTCATGGCCGGCTCTCGGCCGCCCTGCAACGTGTACTTCTACTACCGCGTCTTCAGCAGTGATCAGGTCAGCTGACGCCCCCCCCCTTCACCTCCTCCCTCCACCCGTCTGCCGGTGCCGGCGCCGTCAGGTCTGGACTGCTGCCATTCAAGGCCACGGGGTCTAGATGTCCGCGCCGGGATCTTGGGAACAGATGCAGAACGGGACGGATGACAGCACAGCTGCGAGGACGAGGAATACTCTACCGTTGAGACGTTGCCTACACGAAACCACGCGCTCGCTGCGGTCACTTTTACGGTACGTGCTAGCGGGCTCACCTTTTCCGGCTTGTCTTGCTCCGTTCTGGCTGTTATGGTTTGGGCCAGTATGTGGACGCGAGTGCATGCATCCAAACAAGTGTGACTGGTCTCAACACGGATTTCGGCGATCCGTGGTCGATGTGACCATGATCCGTAGTCGATGTGGCCGCGAGCTTCAATGCCATGCTGAGTATGGCTCCCTCTCACCACCACCGTCTCCCGAGGTGCGTGAGATGGAAGGACCCCGCCCCGCCTTCATGCTCCTCCCTGCCGCCAGGTGCCCGAGGACGACGCGGCGCTGACGGCCTGGCTGTACCAGCTGTTCTTCGACAAGGAGGAGCAGCTGACCGAGTACTACCGCACGGGCCGGATGCCGACGCTGCCCCCGTCCAAGCACGGCGGGCGCGAGGGCCTGCCGCCTCCGCGCCGGCTGCGTCACGACCCACTCGCCTGGCTGCTGCGCCACCTCTTCTTCATCGGGTCGACGGCGCTCCATCTGCGCCTGGCCGCCGCGGTGAGCCGCGGCCTTTGCGCCCTGGTCGGCTCGCTGGCCGTCTGGTGACCTCGGCGGCCATCTGGTGACCTGTGCGGCCTTCTGGTGGCCTCATCGGCCGTTTTGTGACATCACCGGCTGGATGGTGACGTCACCGATGTTCTAGTGACGCCAACAGCCGTCTGGCGACCCTGCTGTTCGTCTGATGACCTCGGGGCGGGCGGGCGGGCGGCGTTGTGTTGGGTCGGACGCGCCGCCCGGCTGCATGCCGCTGAGGCCGGCGACAGTGAACGGGCCGCCGGCTGGAGCTGGGCCCGGCCGCTGGACAGCGCCGGCCTCCCGCCGGGCCGCTGCCGACGGGGTGGCGGCCGCTGCGCTCATCGGCGCTCGAGCATGGCGCCCGGCCGGCGACCCGTGTGCAATGTTCGGAACAGCTGAACAGCGTCATGACGTCGGCGACTAGGTTCCTGTTCTGGTTTCCCATGATGCTGGATGAATCGGTTCGAACGTTCTAGACGGACATTGTGTGCATAAGAGCCCTGGGTTCGATGACGTTTACATCGGTCTTATCCGTTGTGTTTGTTGGCTGTTTTGTTATGGTTGGCAGCGCTTTACGGCTTAAGTTGGCCTCTTGCTGTCGTTTTGTGCTATATTAAGTGTATTTAATTTGTTGTTTGAGCGACGGGTGGCATTAAGCAATTATTTGACGAGCCGAGTTCTGGTCTCATGTATATCGGAGTGGGAATAGTAAGCATCGTGTGCCGATGTAATCGGTGATCGCCGACAAAGCCAAGTGATAGGTGTAGTATTCCACATGAAGGTGACAAGCTTGTAGGGATGATGTACAGAATACTGCCTTGCGTGATGAAATGACCCAGTGTAGGTATTGTTTTTACGTGGCCACTCGTCGAATGTTTTGAACTATGGAAAGATCGCCACACCATTGACCGCTTGTCGAAGGTTTCCAAGTATCGAGAGATTGCCGTTCTGTTAGTGAAATTCTGAGTTGTACCGACTCCCGTGATTTGAAACGCGTGCGATCCGGGAAGAAGTGCGTCGACGAGGGCATATGGGCGGCAGCTGACAAGCCCGACGAGCGCCATCGCTGTAGAGCGGCCGCTACTGCCATAGTGCCGGCACGTTCTGAAGTCCCGCGTGGTGAGAGGCGGTCGCACCGGCGTTCTGAAGCGTCGCGCGTGTCTGGTGGGGAGAGTGCCGTCGTGTCCGCGGTCCGGCGAGCGATCACCTCTGCCGCCGCGGTCCCGGCCTGCGAGCTGGGCGGCGCGGCGACCGACCGTAGAGGCGGAGCTCGCAGCAGCTGGCAGCCGCAGTCCGCCGGTGCCGGCGGCGGCCGTCCCACCGACTGGCGCGCGGCGCGCAGCCGGACGCCATGGCACCGCGGCCGCAACCGTCTAGTCTCGTTCACTGTGAAGGCCCAGTAGCGTGCTCGTGGTCTTGTTGAGCCGCGCGCGCGCGCACCGGATTGTGCGTATACGCAGCAGTTTTGTAATCGGCCTCGCCGGTAATGCATGATGACCGATAGTTTTTCTGTCTTGTACGTGCGTTCAGAGCGAACGCTAAAAGCGGGAGGCGTGTGGAGCGGAAGCGTGGGATCGAACTGGTCTGAGCTCGGACCGCACCATACGGGGCTGAAGCTCCGCCCGACGCTCCGTCGTCCACGCTCTCGCGATCTGGCAGAGAGTGCGCACGTACGTGTTGCGATACTCAGTGATTTACGTGAGGTGCAAGAACTGGAAGTTAGTATATATATATATATATATATATATATATATATATATATATATATATATATATATATATATATATGTATATTATAGGCGAATGTGGCGCGTGGCGGCACCACTGCCTGCGCCGTTTATTGTCTGCTGATTGATATCAGAGGTGCTCTATTCATAGGGACAGGTCGGCCTTTCCGCCAATGACTCATTTCAGTCACGATTGACCTTGTTGCATCCGGTACCAACGGGATCTGCTCGACTCTTGCCATGGGTTATCGATATAGGAGGGGGAGGGGGAGTGGTGGCGAATGGCGGTAACATCAGGGAGGCAGCTGGCTCAATATATATATATATATATATATATATATATATATATATATATATATATATACAGAACGCGGGGAAATGGGAGAACATACACAACGGGAAAACGCGTCACTGGCACACGGTTTGCGGTGACTGTCACCTGTATCACTCAGCAGTCTGCTTGTAATGGGCAGGACTGTGGATGTAAAAGGTCACGGTATTTATGTCACGGCCTCGTATGGCCGCCGGACACATCAAGCGCCCGACTGATGTCCTGACATGGGTTTTAGTGGTTGAGTAGCCGGTCGTGCCACAGTGCTGGTAGGATATTTATAGCTGAAATTGCCTCGATTTTCGAGATAAAAGTGCGCTCCATAATTGACTTTGGGTGCTTGCCATTGACTGATGATGTGCTGTGGATTTCCGAATGCTGCGAAAAGTTTAGATTACCTGACACATCACGCCTGGCCCAAATGCCTGCGACACAGTCCCGGGATCCGGCGGCGAATGTGACGCGTGGCGGCACCACTGCCTGCGCCGTTCAGAATCTTCTGTTTGGCATCAAAGCTGCGCTGTTCATATGCGCAGGTCAGTCCATCAGTGAGTCCTTTCAGTTACGTCTGACTGGTGCATCCGGTACCAACTTCATCTGCTTGATTCTTTCTAAGGGTTATCGAAATGGGGAGGGGGGCGGCGAGTAGCAGCAATATCAGGGGGTAGTTGGCCCAAACTGCTGGTAATACTGAACATGAACCCTACGGCGGTGCGTGGAGAGCAATGAGGTATGAATTCCTTCCATAGCTCCACGGACGTTCCGCCACCACCGATCGAGATGGGCCTGATGGTGCGGCCTGCGTCTGGCCGGAACCACGCCCGACACGGGGTCGGAGGCTGCTCGTGAGGGGGGGGGGGGGAGTGGTGCAGCGCCGCGCTGGCATGTGAGCAGCACCTCCGCCTGGTCAAATCCCCCCTGGACGTCTGATAGCGGGAGACACATCTGACCGTGGCGAGTCTGATCGAAGGTGAAGGTGGTGGTGTGCCATGAAACTCCCTGGGTGTCGCGTCTGGGACTGCCGTCCAACTGAAGCCAGCTCCAGTGGGACGACAAGCACTCCGCATCGGCCCCGAAAAGCTCGACGCGGAGTGCAGCGCAGTCGTGAGTAACAGGGTCGAGATATGATGAAATATCGGTGCAGCGCACAAGGCCCAGCTCGCCAGGTCCACGCGGCCCGCTCCCCGCCGGCCCGTCATATCGCTGTGAGAAGCCACAGGTGCACGCCACACCTGTGGCCGCGGGGAGGGGCGCCGGCCGCCGCGGGCCGCCAAACGGCCGCGTGACAGCGTATCGATCGTGTGTCCGCGTGCAACGGGGTGCGACGTACGTGGCAGACGGCGCCGGCGCCTCACCGGGGCAGTGCAGGGCGAGCGGAGCGTGCACCGCCGTCCGAGCGTCCAGCTCGCGTCCGTCGCCGAGCCGCCGGTGGAGCAGCGCGCGCGCGCGCCGCAGCGGCTGCAGCATCACAGTCCCAGTGGGTGGCTGCGCGCGGCGTCCGGCCCTGACCGCGCCATGGCCGCACGTCACTACACCATCATCTCACAGGGCGACGACGTGGAGGACCTGCTGCCGCCGGCCGGGGCCAACCCGGTGCGCGAGCCACGCCGGCGGCGCGCCCTGCTGGCGGCGCTGTTGGCTGCGCTGGCGCTGGTCGTCATTGTGCTGGCAGTGTCGCTGCCACTGGTGGTGGTCGGCACGGCGCGCGGCACCGGCACCACTCCAGCGCCCGTTACCACCACTAAGGCGACGACGACGACGAAGCCGACCACCACGATCACCACCACGACCACCACCACTACTCCAGCCACGACCACCACGACCACCACAACCACCACCACGACCACTGTTCCAACGACTACTTCAACCACCACAACGACCACTACCACTCCTGCCACTACCACCACAACCACCACCATCACCACCACCACGACTGCAGCCACCACCAGCGCGCCCGTCACCGCGAGCAACAGCGTGGTGGCGGGCGGCGCGACCACCCGGCTGTCGCACTGGGCAGGGTCGGGCGGGGACCTAGCGCCAGCGCTCTCAGGGCTGGTGAGCGCCACCAGCCGGCCGGTGGCGGTGGCGCCGCACGGCGCCGGCGGCCAGACGCCCTCCCCCGATCTCGGCCACCATCACCACCGCGGTTGGCTGGTGAGTGCAACAGCTCCTGACATATGGCCGGCGCCGAGACGCTGCGGCCGGCCCGCAACGGCATCGGTTGGCTGGGTACGCGCTCCAATGGTGTGTGAGATGCCACTGATTCGGCTCACGGCTCCTGATGGCAATCGCCAAACTATAGCGTTATGTGAGATAGATTACCCGAGAAACTGCAGTGCACCGAACAAAAGTAAAATGAGAACCCGCGAGAAGATAAAGCGGGAAGATGGAAGGAGGTTCAAAGTCTGGGAGCAGCCGAACAATATGCTGGGTTTGTTATTGGACTAGCAGATCAGATAAGTCAATTATCCGCACACCTCGTCACATGAAATCGGATCTCTGATGTAATATTTTTGGAGCCTCTCCGGTCTTCTCAAAACGCCAACTGCCGTTACGGGTGCTGGTGAAAATGTGAACCTTGCCGCGTTGATCAAACTACAACTCTGTCACTCCGTCTTGTGAACGAATCGTCGCCGTCGGTTTGATCACATGTGGCATATCGACTTCACAGAAAAGTAACACCCGTGGTCATCAATAGCATAAAGCGTCATGTACTGAAGCTCGGAGTACGTGGATGGAATTAGGATAGAGGTCGATACGGTGGCAAAACAAGATAGACCAATGCACCGTTATATGGTTGTTTCAGCATGCACTGACTTCCGATCCAGCCTTCGTGCCTGCCGCCATCGTCGCCATAATCGTGCTGGTGCTGGCTGCAATGGCGGCGGTGCACGCCCTCAAGCGACGTTCTGACAGGCGGGAGCGCAGGAAAAACATCGGGGTAAGCGTCTGGAGATGATGATCGATAGACCCAACCCAAGCGCAGCTGCTGACGCCCATCCCACCAGGCCAACATATGCAAGCAGGGGACGAACACGCGGAGAGGAGCTCTTGGAGCGCGCGTAGATGTCGTGGTATTTGCATGCTTGACGGGGTGGCCAGTCAAGCTTACCAAGTGTACCGAACGGGAGCGGGCTCGTGCTCGATCGCTGGCGGCTGCCCGGCGTTTTTACGCGACAACTGTTGTGAGTCACGCTAACACTCAATCCATCGATCAGTGGACACTGGCGACCGTTTATCAAGCGGTCCACACATGTTCCGTTTCATGTGATGGCATCTGAGCAGGAGGGCTGCACGCGAGGAACGGAGTGTGCTTTAAATGGAAGTGGGTGGGGAACGGGCCCCTTCCGATCAGACGGCTGACTCCTGATCAACGAACTATTGTGGCCGACGCCTGAATGTCCGACCTGTACCTTGCAGCAGATGGCCCAGGACCTCCAGTCGGGGGACAAAGTGATGCTGATGAGCTCCGACGAGGACTGAGCACCGCGGACACAGGAGCAGACTGACGGAGCACAGCCAGGGATCCGCGCGGCCGCGGTCTGTCGCATCCCCGCTCAGGCGCCCGCTCGCCCAGCGTCAGCACCAAACAGTGCCGCGTATGTCAAGAGCGTGGTGGCCGCAGCACCGCACAGCCCCGCCTCGCCGCCATGCGCAGGCTCTGAGACTGTGCGAAGCGTGCAGCCGCGCAAGCCGTGCTGTGTCCGCACGCGCGACAGGACAGTCGCCAGTGACCGCAGTCTTACGCGCATTCAGCCGCCGGCGGGACGCACGGCCGGAGCGGCGTTTTGTGGCGCGGCGATCTCCCCGCCGCCGTGGCGTGTCTGGCGCGGCGATCGCTCCCGCCGCCGTGACGTGTCCGGACGGCCACTGGGGCCGCCGAGTGTGAGAAAAAGTCCAACTGTCGGACCGACGACAGGACACGCCGGCGGGACAGCGGAGCGTGTCGCGGCGGGCGGGGCGGGCTCTGGCCGCCGACTGACCACCCCAGGTCTCCGTCGAATGGTGCTCTCAAGGCGTACTGGTCACCGCCTCATGCGGCGGAACTATTTCGGTGATAAGGCGTCTCGGTTGTCACGGTAGTCACCGCTCTGTGCAGCGGAACGTTTTTGGCGACCGAGTATCGCCGCAGCTGCGACAGCGCGCAGCCCCACCGCGTTGCGCTGTGCCGATGACTCATCCGCAATGCCACACGTTCCCTTATTTTCAGATCGATCCCAGCTTGACCTTGAGGTCTTCCAGTGTCCGATGCTATCCGCATGTTGCATATGCTATGAAAAGGCGCCTGCCTCTTTAAATCTTGGCGGCAGTTACTAATGAAGCGCACCGGAACAGCGCCGACGATCAAGGGCGACCGCAACCGAGACCGCCAACAGCGTTAATGCGCCTCTTTGCATAAAGGGGACTCATCATTCGTGACGCGACGTATAATATATTTTTCAATCAATCCCCACCTTGCCTAGGAGCGCCGCGGTGTCCGACTTGATTCATATATTACATGAAAGCTTGCGAAACGGCGGTAGCTATTAATAAATCATCGGCGACGTAACCGAACCATTACATCATTTCCTCATTCTATATACACGCACATTGCCATTCAATAGCATAGTATCCGCCGTACAGCAAAGGAATGTTCTCGCGGGTTAAAGTGTAGCTCCGCACCGCTGCTGCGACGCAAAATACGCTCCAATTATGTCCGCACAATCATGCTACAATGTACACGCTGACACCGACTGTCACGTATTCTACATCGATAGAACGGGACAAACGTTTGCTGCACCCATGTACGACAGCGCGGCGAGACGATTCCTCAAATATTCTTTGCCACCGACTCTCACTCCGGATATCCCCAAAACAAACCAAACATGGATCGGAACGGGTGGTTTATATGCACTTGTTTTAACACACCGCCGAGCGCAATCACTCACGTGAACTAGCCGCTCGCGAGCCGTCGGTCAGACGCCAGTGTCGGGGAACACAGCAAGATGAGAACGCCGTCCTCTCTACCAACGCAATGTCTGACACCGGTCTAGAAGATGACGTCTTCATCCACCACCTCGTCCAGCATGTTCTTGGTGTCAGGCTCGTCCTCTTTGACAACACCCTTGGCGGCCAGCGCTTCGGCCGCCGCCTTCTCGAGGGCCTCCTTCTTCTTGCGCAGGATGCGCTTCTTGTCCTGCGGGCGCCGGAGAGGAGCCGGGCGTCAGACGAGAAGGAACAGGGCGTCACACGGAGAGACCGGACATCAGACGGAGAGGGACCAGGCGTCAGACGAGGACGAACAGGGCATCCGACGGGGAGGGATGACAAGGCGTCAGACTTGTCCACTCGTCCGACGACAAGGCGTCAGACGAGCAGGGGTCGGGCGTTAGACGGGGAGGGACCGGACGTCAGATGGGGAGGGACCGGGCGTCAGCCGGGAGGGGGGGGGGGGGGGTGTCAAACAGGTAGGGGAGCCGGGCGTCTGACGGCGAGGGACCAGGCGTCACGAGGGGGTGGGGGGGGGGGGGGGGGCGTCAGACGGGGAATGACCGGGCGTTAGACAGGGGAGACAGGCGTAAGACGAAGAAGACAAGACGTCATTACGTCACGAGAACGTCCGCACAATAACAGGCTCCAGCCCCACAGGGTCGGCAGTAGCCGTGTGATAACATGCTCTCCCTCCTCTTCCCTCCCCTCGTCCGCTGGAGGTGTACAGCTAGAGCGGCGCACACCAGCAGCCATTACGGGTCACGCAACCTTCCGAAGGACAGCACCGGCGGCGGCCGTGACAGCGGAAGCAAACCCAGCCGGCCGCCCGGGCGCACCAGTGCCATCTGGTGTCAGCCGGCGGAAGCGGCGGCGGGATGCCACGCGCCACTGACGAGCTCCGCACTTGCTGCGCCCACCCGCACCGAGCTGAGCTATACAGAGCGTACCTGGATCTTCTTCAGGCGATAGAACTCCTCCCGCTCAAGCTCGTCCAACTCCGAGATGATGTAGGCCAGCGTGCGCTCGATGCGCGGGATGATCACTGAAAGAGACGGCGTTGTAATGAGCCTGGCTAACGTTATCGCCCCGGCCACATCAGCGTAGGTGATGGTGGATGAACAGACGCGATTTCGAATCGATCAGGTCCATAGTCTGCAGTTAGGCCTGTGCCGCCAGTAAAGGTCGACAGTATACAGTCAGTGGAACTTTTAATACTGATTAGTAATCAGATTGGACAGGTCACAGATATAAGAAAACAGGACATGACCGCTGAATTAGCGAATTAATTTTACCCCCCCCCCCCCCAAACCTTTCCCATACCGCAGTCACTCACTATGGTCTTTCCCCAGGATATCACAAGATCACCAGGGAGAGTATGTTCGTTTCCGTCAAACAGCAACCATGAACTGTAAAGTTTGCGTCAACAGCCCCCACACATTTCATCCCAGCCCCCGGAGCGCCAGCCCACCGTGCTCGATGGCGTTGACGCGCCGGTTGGTGATCTTGATGACCTCGTCGAGTGTCACGAACGACGTCTGGAGCGACGCCAGGTCCACCAGCAGCTCAATGGCCTTCTGGTAGTTCTTCTTCATGTTGGCCACGGCGTGGCCGCCGCGCGCCAGGCCGGCCAGCTCGTACTGGTCGGTCGCCTCCTGGTAGCTCTCGAACACTGGCAGCGTGACGCCTGGCCGCGGGGCACACAGGTCACGGTCGGCACAGGGGTCAGGGTCGATACAGGGGTCAGGGTCGATACAGGGGTCGGGGTCGGTACAGGGGTCAGGGTCGGCACAGGGGTCAGGGTCGGCACACAGGTCAGGGTCGGGACACAGGTCAGGGTCGGCAGAGGGGTCAGGTTTGGTACAGGTGTCAGGGTCAGTACAGGGGTCAGGTTTGGTACAGGTGTCAGGGTCGGTACAGGGGTCAAGGTCGGCACACAGGTCGGGGCCGGCACAAGGGTCAGGATCGGCACAGGGATCAAGGTCGAACACATGGCACTGTCGGTGGACAGGCTGTCCGCGACTGTCCTCCGCCGTAATTGGTCACCGCTTCGCAGCACGGCTACACGCGCGTCACAATCATGACAAACCGCAGACTACTCCGGGTCAACACCATAGTTCCCTGACCGCGCTGGCCAGATCAGACCAAGACGACTGTGTTGGCGTCACCGTTGGGGGGGGGGGATGGGCTCATTGCCGGTGGTGTCACAACGCCAAGTTAAATATTGCACTGGCTTCTTATCGGTGCGCGATGTACGATTGTTCGATGCATCAGACAGTCGAACAGTCCAATGCCATATCATGTCGATATCATCGATACATAAACTACCTGTTTCAGCTGCTCTGACGAGAGCGTGGACATTGAAAGCGTCGCGTGAAAGCTAAAAAATCTACTTGGTGGAGGTTCCTAAATACATACTTATGCGTCTATAATTACTGTACACTGATGATATACCTATAAATGCTGCAGACTAATGATATACTGGCTGGCGTCATGACAGTCATCTTCCCAACCACACACTTTATTAATTCACCGACAAGTAAAGCAGTGGGATAGGGAAGGGGGACTGATTAAGTCAGACACCAATTACCATGTAAACCGCATGACAACTACATCACAGCCAACGCCCCGAGCGCGCCGAGCCCAGACGCCAGCAGTCAGCAGGCGTGGTGCTCTGTCCGCAGGCCGGCCCACCCACCTGCCACGTTATCCTTCTTGGTGCGGACCTTGATCTGCGCCTTGTTGACGTTTTGCAGCACAACCTGGGGCAGGGAGGTCTCGCCACCGATGGCGAACTTGACCTCGGCCAGGGAGAAGGCAGCCACCTTCATCACCTCGCCCATCAGCGTCTTGGTCTGCGCAGCGGGCGGGGCGCGTCACACACGGCAGGGCCATGTCACAGCAGCAACAGAGGCGCCAGGCCTCATCATGGGGCGTGTCACACACGGCAGAGGCCATGCCACAGCAGCAGCAGGGGCGCCAGGCTCATCATGGGGCGCATCACACACGGCCGGGGTGTGTCACAGCAGCAGCAGAGGCGCCAGGCTCATCATGGGGTAGTCACACACGGCCGGGCCTGTGTCACAGCAGCAGCAGATGCGCCAGGCTCATCATGGGGTACGTCACACACGGCCGGGCTGTGTCACAGCAGCAGCAGAGGCGCCGAGCTCATCATGGGGCGTGTCCACACACGGCCGGGTCACGTCACAGCCGCAACAGAGGCGCCGAGCTCATCATGGGGCGCGTCACACACGGCCGGGCCGTGTCACAGCCGCAACAGAGGCGCCAGGCTCATCATGGGGCGCGTCACACACGGCCGGGCCGTGTCACAGCCGCAGCAGAGGCGCCAGGCTCATCATGGGGCGTGTCACACAAGGCTGAGCCGTGTCACAGCCGCAACAGAGGCGCCAAGCTCATCATGGGGCGCGTCACACACGGCCGGGCCGTGTCACAGCAGCCGCAGGGGCGCCAGGCTCATCATGCAAAACTAACAGAAAAGGCAAATACTGTATGCTTCAGTGTACAACCATGATGGAAACAATGTGAGAGTGTGATGTACCTCCACAATCTTGCCTAGGATCAGCCGAAATCTCAGCTGCAGGGCATCTGCCTTCTTTTTCAGCAGGCTGTGACCCTTCTGAGCACCTTTCAGCCGTAGCTTCATCTGGGTCTGGGCACTGAAAAAGGCACACAGTGATTTGGCATGGAATCAATGTCATCTGATGTCTCAACAAATTACCTGACATGGTAAGCAGCAGAGACTAAAACTGAGTTACCAGAGCTGTCAGAGCACTATCATTCACATTGCAAAAAGCACAATTGTTTTAAGCACTACATGAATGCAAGAACACAATCAGCACATAAATCTACAGCCCCACCCACCCCAAATAATAGGTGCACAAAATGACAAATTCCACCTGGAGGATACACATTACTTTACAAGCAACAGGCACATGTAGCTACCACTCATCAGCCAAGGGCAAGATGCACCAAGTATTGAAAGGACCAGTACATCAGCATTCCTGCATAAGATATGGCACCTCTCCACCAAGAAGTTCAAACAAAACTCAAATGTGTGGTAAGGCCAAATTGTATCCAGACTTGCCATAGAAACAAAAGATATGGACATGGAAAAGCAAAAGACCTTACATCAACACTTTATGAATATAATAATGCTAGAGTCCATTGTGCAAGTTGTTACTACCAGGTGTGACCCAGACCCAAACAAACACCCAAACTTCAAAGAAAAGGAGTCGCAAGCTCAGAAATCAGCAAACATGACTTGCAAATTTTAACCCAATGATTCTGCAGTATCCTGGATTTGGATTCTTTGCATGCATTATTCTATGACCCCTGATAATGTCCTTCCAAACAAGTAATGTCCTGTAAACAAATATGTGGACAGCATGGATAAAAATGTGGATTGGAATGAAACACCGAAGGCATTTACCTACTTATTATTGTATGATAATTCAAACTTGTTGGCCGACCATTCAAGATTAATGGGGGATGCAAGATGGATGGAACATTTCAGTTTTCCCAATCTCTACAACAGCATGCTGTTTCTGTATAGATTGTGGATGGGCTTCACCAGGTGTCTGAAGTTAGTGCTGCTCTTCCCAAATGCAAGGCATTCTTTAATTTCCCACTGCTTAATTAATGCCAACAATATTGACTTAAACCATGCCTTCATCATATGGGGGACACTACGATTCCATGGATGCAAATCCATAAAATATGAGTTAGGTATCATCAACAATTCACATAAAACAAAACAGACCTGAAGTGGAAAAGCAGGCTGTTTCTACGCATTTCTCCTGGCACACATGTCTGCGGTACCATAATAATTAACTGTAGGAAGAGCAATCAAAATGATAAACATAGAGGGCTACTGACAGTGACACTTGAGGAACATATGTTTGGATCTCAAACAGCAATTTTGTAATTTTGTAGCATACATTGGGATCTTAAGCCTGATACTAAAATCTGAAATTTGTAGGGGGGGGGGGGGGGAAGGAGGCCCACCACAGTCATACATGACACTGTGAGCCTGGCATTAAACATCTTGACATGTGAACTTTCTTAATCTAAGCTGATTTTGGAGAGGGAGAGTCTTCAAAGTTTTAACTCAGTAATCTGGGTCTCAAAGTAACCACAATAGCATGATGTTGATCTTAAAATAAAGGCCCAACTAAGGAACCATGCAGCATAGGACTATCCTCACATAATTTTGGCTGCAATCTTTTCAGTTGACTGGAGCAAAGATTATCACTTGGCCTGCCTCATGCTTGTCTAGCTGCCAGGACTTGTGCATTCCTTATCTGGGCTTGCCATCTTATTCTACACACACAGAAAAAAAGCCTCCGCTGTGGCATAATTCCATGCATCATCATGGCCTATCTCCAGATCAGTCTGAAAACTAGCATTGCATATAACAAAAAAATATGTATTATCTACATAAATCTCCACATGTTCCATGCCAGGATGATGCAACACTGTGTCTCAAATTCAGTGTAATAAATTTCATCTACTATCTTACCATGAAGATTATCATGAAGGATGGATGGACAGGAGTTTCAAAACTGAATGTGTGTTAAGCATGTCTGTCAAACAACAATGTAAAAGTATACTATCATCTACTAGTAACACATTTTCATAAGCACGAAGTGGTGCAAAGTGCCCAGAGCCCCAAAACAATCTCAGGATTTCATGGGAACTTATAGCATCCCAGGTCCAGACTTGGGACCCTGACACAAGCCTGCTATGCATATTTGTCCCATAACAAAAATAAAAAGGACAGTTCCAAATAAGCAGTCTTGATGTGAGATAGCAGTTTTCTTTATCATTTCCTGCAGTTCACAGCCATCCCTTTCTTAAAGCCTCAACACCTCTTGTTTCTGAGCTAGACACACCCAAACTCCACCACATACTAATTTGTTCTACCTTATTCAAAGTTACCCAGATACATGTCATCATAGAAACATCACACAAATTCCTCCATCCTTAAAAGCCATATTGTGCTCAAGATCAAAGAAATATGACAATGGGATAATTGTATCTGGAACACAGCATAAAAATTACTGTATTGGTGGACAGCTGATGGAGAACAGCCACTTAAAGCTGCTACCATGCCTCAACCACAACTATGATATGATGCATAACAAGGACATTTGGGCTGTTTCACTAGTTATGGAAGGCATGAGGCTGAAAATAGATGACCTTAACCTAGAGTGCTACAAATGAGAATGCAAATACAACACACAGCATAACATCATAGAAAAATACACAACACCCTGAGAAAAGACAGAAACACAAACACATGCCCAAAAGATAACAACACATCAATTACACATATCCCTGAAAAAATTGCAGAGGGTTTACATTATAATCATGACCCAAGCCTGAGGTTCTGCACACCAATGCTGCATACACATCTGGCACTGTGGGTTAATTTTCATAGTCTGGCTCACAAGCATACCTTTGGACTAGATGCAGTAATATACCTATTCAGGGTGGATACACTGGTCACGCACACACACTGTATAATGTTTCCTGATACCAAGAACTGAGTTTAAACACGCCTTACCCCCTGGAAGGGAAGATAGCCAGGCGATCCTTTCCAGACATGTCAAGAAGTTGAGGAGCAAAGTTCTTGAAAACAGCACCACACCACTATGTTTCAATCAGTAGCAAGCAAAGATTAATACAAAGACGGTCAAAAAAGCATTCCAAAGCCCTATTGCACGAAAACGGGGAACTAGAAAGTCAGCACCGTCCCAGCCATCTCCAAGTACAAGCGAGCGCTCCGTTGTCCACTATTATGCAAAAGAGACGGCCAGAATCGTTCCTCAAGCGTCAGTTCTGTCGAAAACGTAAGCGGCGAAGAAATCAGATGACCGCTGTATCTCTTTTACTTACACAATACTTTTGAGTAATTGCCGTAGTTCTCGAAGAATAGTGCAGACTTATTGTTTGAAGTAGTTTTTATATAATCTAACAATAACAATTTCAGGTATTGTGCTAAATGGTACGAACTAAACTGTGTATGATGTGGAACACGGTGCTATATACTCTTCTTTCTTTTACCATCCCCAATGTCAAGGCTGCAATCTGTGTGGTTGGAAACGAGGGGAGCGAGACGTGGGTGTAATGGGCGGGAATTGGAACGCGATTGGAACCAGATTGATTTAAAACTCGACCTGGTTTATTGAACCGAACTCATTTCAACGGGGGTGTCATTACCCACATTGCGTACCGCATACGGAGGCCCCTCTTGTCAGCAGTGACACCATAGTACCGTCACTGGAAGTCAACAATCCGGTGGCCCCTGCAGCCATTGTCAAGCGAGGGGTCATCGGTTGGGGCGGGCTGGTTAGTGGCCACCGCATTTTTGAAATGCTGTTTGCCTGCAGATGGTAAAAATGTAAAGCCAACAATGGCAGAAGCTATACAAGTTCGACAGGCCCAGTGGCAGGTCTGCCGCGATTGGAAGGAAGAGTGGCGACCGGGCCTGCCGCTGCTGGAGCAGTGGCGCGGGCACCAGGCGGGGGCACATACCCTCAAAAGCCGGCCATATATCGTATTCAGGAGCCTCGGCCCGCAGGATCGGGCACCACAATGTCAGCCAGAAGACCGTTGGCGTCCATCGGGGCTCTTGAGGCGACATATGTCGGTCAAACACTATTGCCGGCACCGCACAGTCCGCCCCGTGCCGCCTCGCCCGTGAGGACAGTGATTGGGGTATTCAGAGGCCTAATGCTGTTACCGAGGCCTTGCATGTCCACTTGCGTGGTCAATCCGATCGCTGAGAAGCCTTCGACGTTGCCCTGGGTCTCTGTATTTTCTCGTAGGGTCGTTCCCTGCTGTTGAGACACTGTCTGCTAACATGTCCGGGCACTCTTGATCGCTCAGGTCCCCTCCATGGATCCTTCACATCTGCGTCTGTCAGCGCCCGACAGCACCAAAGGGAGGCCCTGTGTTGGCAAGCGGCTCCGAGTCAGCAAGAGTCAGTATTCGAGGCGGTCCGGAGAGCTTAGAGGGCCCACTGGATCCGACGATCAAGGCTCCTATTAGAGGATCTAAGGGGACGAATGACTGGGCAGTCTTGTTCAAGGGCCCGGCCTGCGTGGGCACGCCCTCAAATAACAGTCAGACGGCCCTTTACGCCGATCGAGGGCCCCTGAGTCGATATGGGTCTATATGTCGGTCAGGCACCACCAGTACAGCACAGTCAGCTCCCGGGGCCAGGGATTTACACTGGTCAGAGGCGCTGTATATGTCAGAGGCCTACAGCGCCTAACAGAGGGTCCTGTGCTCGCAAAGCCCCCGAGCCGACTAAGGAAAGTTTTCAGTGAAGTCCGAAGAGGCCCGGGCAGCCCATCAAAACCAACGATCAAAGACTAAGTTGAAGGGCATTAGGGCTCCATGGACTGGGTGTAGGGTGTAGGTCACACAAAGGACCACGGCCCGTAGGACTGTGACCTGAAATATCAGTAGAGGTCCTCTTGCGCCATTTGGGGAACCCCTGAGACAATGAGGTTGTCTAAGGGAGTAAAAAAACAAGAACACCGAACAGTCTGCTCCATGTCCGTCTGAGCCCTTGAGACGCATTTCCCAAACCGGAACGAGGCCGGGGCCCGTGCTTTGCAATGTTCGGGATCCCTGACACAAAAAGTCCGATCCTATGCCGGTCAGGGACCACAGTGCCTAACAGGGGTCCTTTGGCAGTAAGTGGCCCCGAGTTGGAGCGGTGTTTGAGGGAGACCAAAGAGGCGCCAAAGGGTCTCTCAAGACGAAAGATCAACGGCCCGATTGGAAACTGAAGGGCTGGAAGGATTGGCTGTGGGTCACATTAGGGATCCGTAGGGCTGTAGGGCCGTGACCTTTACTGTCAGTAAGAGGACCTCTTGCACCGATAGAGACCCATGAGACGACCCATACCTGTACTTCGGATCGGCCCACATTGTAAGCATGATGTAATGAATCGGTGCCAGTCGTAGTTCGAAATAGGCAATGGGTGGCCACATGGGTTTTTGGCATAATCTTATGCTGAGATCAAAGGTCGGTGCCTAACTGGAAGTTGAAGAAACCTGGCACATAAATAAGACCGTACAATACTTGGCACCTGGGAGTTCTTGTAATGAAAAACTGCTACCTGCGAATTCTTGTAACAACGTCGCTATAAACCGTAGCTTGCCTGCTGTGGCAAGGGTTGCATAACAAAATGTGTCATCACCGGGCGAGCCAATTATTATGTCATACCATGGGCTCTACTTCCAATTTAAGGTACAAGTGGTGTGAGGCGTGAGCGTGGTGACCTCGGAGTAAAAACATTAGTTCTTGCAGCTAGCTAAAACGTTCTTACGATCAGGCCTGGCTTGCCAACAAGGCGTGAGCAAGTGCAATGAGTTTCTGGCTACCATGAGCACCGCGCACTTCAATAGCGTGATTCCTTTGACCGGTCGCCTGACCTGCTGACACAACGCCCGACAACCGCGGCTCCCTGACCGCGCCGCTGTGTAAACAGCACCGCCGCGTACATGCCCACTCTTGCCGCCGCGTATCGATAACAGCCGGGCGCTTATGTGGCGGTGTGTTTGGGCGCCGGGTTCAGTGTCCGTGCGGCTGCGGTTCCCGAGCCACGGCTGCGCAGCGGCAGGATGCGACTTTGCTGGGCGCTGCTGGTGGCCGTGCTGGGGCCGGCGCTGGGCCGGTACGAGCCGACCTGGGAGTCGCTGGACTCCCGTCCGCTGCCTGCCTGGTACGACGAGGCCAAGGTGGGCATCTTCATCCACTGGGGCGTGTTCTCCGTGCCCAGCTTCGGCAGCGAGTGGTTCTGGCGCAACTGGAAGACCGACAAGAACCCTGCCTTTGTGGACTTCATGGCGCGCAACTACCGGCCGGACTTCACGTACGCTGACTTTGCGCCCCAGTTTACTGCTGAGTTCTTCAATCCGGCGCAGTGGGCGGCGCTCTTCCAGAAGTCGGGCGCCAAGTACGTGGTGCTGACCTCCAAACACCACGAGGGCTTTACGCTGTGGCCGAGCGAGCGGGCGTTCAGCTGGAACGCAGGTGGACGTGGGGCCGCGGCGTGACCTGGTGGGTGACCTGGCGGCCGCCATTCGTAACGACACCGACCTGCGTTTCGGTCTGTACCATTCGCTGTACGAGTGGTTCAACCCGCTCTACCTGAATGACCGCGCACAGAATCGCAGTGATTTCGTGACGGGCAAGACGATGCCGGAGCTGTTTGAGCTGATGCACCAGTACAAACCCGAGGTAATCTGGTCGGACGGCGACTGGGACGACTCAGTCGAGTACTGGCGCTCACGCGAGTTCCTCGCCTGGCTGTTCAACGAGTCGCCGGTGCGCGACACGGTCGTCACCAACGACCGCTGGGGGCAGGGCACGCTCTGCAAGCATGGCAGCTACTACACCTGCTCGGACCGCTACGACCCGGGCGTGCTGCAGCCGCACAAGTGGGAGAACGCCTTCACCATCGACCGCGGCTCGTGGGGCTTCCGGCGCGAGGCGACGCTGGCCGACTACCTGACCATCGAGGAGATCCTGTCCTTGCTGGTGCGCACGGTCAGCTGCGGGGGCAACGTGCTCGTGAATGTGGGGCCCACGCACGACGGCCGCATTCTGCCCGTGTTCGAGGAGCGTCTGACGCAGCTTGGCCGCTGGCTGGACGTCAACGGCGAGGCCATCTACGCCAGCCGGCCTTGGAGCACGCAGAACGACACGCTACAAGGCGACGTGTGGTACACGGCCCGAGACGAGGCCTGTGTACGCCATCGTGCTGCAGTGGCCGACCGGCGGGAAGCTGCAGCTCGGCTCGGCGCCCGCTGACCGCACCAGCTGCCAGCTGCTGGGCTACGGATCGGTGTCGTGCGACGGCGGTCTGGTCCAGTTCCCGAGCCTGCCTGAGGTCAACTCCAGCTGGGCCTGGGTCGTCCGGTTCAGTGCCGAACAGGCGGCGTACCAGCCTCTCGGGCCGCCCGCGGATAGTGCCGATGACGTGGTTCTTCTCGGGTAGCGTGTTTTAACTTGGCTTGTCTCTGATGCAGAAGACCGGTCTTGTGAGCTTTGCGGAAGAATATGGCGGTAATGAACATTCAGTTGTCAAGTGCTCTGTGCTCTCATTGTCTCATCTCGGAAGAATATGGCGGTAATGAACATTCAGTTGTCAAGTGCTCTGTGCTCTCAAGTGCTCTCATTCAGCTGCTCAAGTGCCGTCAATGTGCTCTCTCAGCGGTTCTGCCTCACCATTCATCGCAGCCAATGTGTCATTCGCGTACACAGGTGCTTATATTTCTGTTCCTGCAAAGGTCAAGCCTCTAATCCGGACGTCATCGCGGATTGGCTGCAGCATAATTTCTATGCACAACAAGAAGATGCTGCAACTTAAAGGGCATCCATCTCTCAGGCCTCTCGTATTTTGACACACGGAGCAACAAAACGAAATTGTTCAAGGACGGTTTCTAAGTATCTCCAATCCACGGAGTCACATGCATTTTGCCGTTCAGAAAACCAAAGAATTACCAGCACTTCGACCTACTGTGCGGTCTTCCATCAGTCTGGCACCGTCCAAATATTTTCTTATGCATCTCCCCTTTATGAATTCCTCCCGGTCTTCCTTAATTAGCGCACGAATCATTTTCCCAGTGCGCCAAGCTAATGTTTTTGTCAAAACTTAAAGACCAAATTTAGCAGGCTTGTAGGCGACAACGATTCTGTGGTGTGTGATGAGGTGCGTCCGTTGCCTCCCTGGACGCGCCTCCGCGCGGCGGCTCGACCTTGAACGATCTTGACATCGCGGACTGATGGGAC